AAAAATTGCCGCTGCCTTGGCGATTGCAGCCCGATTAAATTAGATTGCCAGCTTGCCGGCCAGCGCTGGGGATGACTTCGCTGCCTAAGCACGTCGCAGTCATATACCCACTGACTAACTGTCTTACTGACTACCTGACTACCAGTCTTGAGCGACAAGTGGCTAACTGGCCGCGGCGCGTGCTGGCTGGAAGGAAAGTTGATGGCGGTTAGATGTCGTTAAACTGAAATGGAAAACAAAAGCCATGTTAGCCAGCAAATCAACGTTTATTCAAATTGTATCAAAATGAAAGTGAACAACAGTGCGTATGTGCAATATAAAGCAAAGAAATTATGAATGGAACAACAGATGTTGCTGCTGCTGCTGGTGCTGAGGCTGCTGTTGCTGTCAATTTGGTGGCTTCGTAAAGTCGCATTTGAATGTGCCATTAATCAGGCTAAGCAAAATGTTTACAAAATGTAACAGCAGGCGGGCTGGAAAATGCGGCATGAGATAATTCAAAGAGCCGCAGACTAAAAAGCAAAAGCCGGCAGAAGTGGTTTAATGTTGGCCAGCAAATTGCAAATTCGCTCACCAAAAATGTGCAGCAAATATGTTAAAATCTTGTTGCATGGAATTTATGAATGAAAAGCCAAGAGGCAAAGCCAAGTGCCACAGTTAAAAGGCCAGCAAAAAGACCAGCTTATTGTTGGCTACATAACAAGCAAATGCTGAGAACAATGCGGGGAAAACACTGCAGGCAGCCGGATTGTTGTTGCTCCTGCTGCTGTTGCTGCTGCTAGTAGCCATAAATTTGTGAACAGTAACCAAAACAACACCAACAATAAAACAATAACAGCCAAGTGCAACGCTCGAGCGCAACAAAAAAAAAAAATAAACACATAAACACATTTTGCAGACAACATTTGCAGCTTGCTCGAAATGGCCAAAATGGAAAATGCAACAACAACAAGAGGAATTGGTTTTGTTTCAGTTTTTTTTTTTTGGGCGTTGCTGTTATCATTAACCGGGCGCAGCGTTGCTGTCTTGTCTATTTACTTAGCAGCAGCAGCTTTAGCCTCAGCTAATAAAGTGGTAACTTCCTTGGCGTTGCCTAAATTTATGACCAGCTGACTGACCGTGCAGGTTATATTTCCCGGCCCTCAGTCTGGGGCGTGGCAGTGCGATAATTCATCATAGAAACGGAAAAAGTGAAGTCGAGTTTTGTCAGTTTCTGAAGAAACTCATATTCGTATTTGGCCAGCAGCGCTCCCACACAAATCAGCAAAAAATCAAAAGTAAACACAGGCATGAACATGCGAATATATATATATATATATAGTTATACAATAATCGATTGCGTTATCTATTCCCACGTTTTAAATGCTCAACTGTCAAATGAATTAAATGCACAAACGCGAGGCGCATTCACATTTGAATTAAGACCAACAACGCACTTTGGCAACAGCATCGCGACAAACCAGTTTTCCATTGCACACACACAGGTGCACGATGCAGTTGCCCCCAAGACTCAAGACTGTGATATGCAACAGCTACAACAGTTGCTGTTTGGCTATTAGAAAGCATCACGGGGTGCATCTGTTGGCTTGTCGCCTGGTCATCAATTGTGGTTCTGACATATTGCGGAAGTGATGAAGACATAAAAAGCAGAAGTAGATAAATATACAGTAGCGACAGCGGGTGAAAAGGATAAAGCTTCAGTTATTACAAGAATAACCACGCACATCTACCGAATATTTTGCTGCAAAATATGAAAATTAAATATAATCGTTCCTTGGAGCAAAAACATCCATCAATAATAACTTTTTTCAAGTTAAATATAATATATATGATATGGATAAATAGACTATTATATATTGACTCAGCCAGTTCTGCTGATAAGATATATGCACACTGCATGAGTTCAGAAATGTCTCGCAGCTGGTGACACAATTATAATACACTCTGAAGTAAAAAGCCAGGTTAAGAAGACAGATCTCACGTCAGCAGCGGCTGCTGCTGCGGCTGCTGCTGCGGCTGCTTCAAGTGACACAGTGACATGCTAATTTCTCGTTATTTTGTTTTTGTTGTTTTTGTTTTGATCTTATGTTTGTTTGCCATATTTGTCCATATGAAAGTGGTACAAATTGATGCGAGAGCCACAAAACCAATGGAGCTGCAGATGTGGACACCACACTGGCTGCGACTCTAGAGTCCAAGTCCGAGTCCGAGTCGGAGACCGAGTACCATTGCCATGACATAAGGCTGATTGACATTTGACAGACTGTCTGTTCGTCCATCTGTCTGTCAGACAGTCTGTCTGACTACACTTTTACTCTCGTGAGTGGTTTTTACTTTTTTTTTTTTGCTTTGCATAAATATTTATAGCAATTCGAGTGGGGGGAAATAAATTTATCTAGAGTTTGCGGTAAAGTGTTCTTCAAGAAATATGCAAGAAATTCATGTATGTACATATTTTTCTGTAGTTTCTTTTGTAAAATTTTTGGCATAAATTTCAAGTCAATTGCATTTAATTTGTTGATATATAATTTATGGTGCTTAGCATTAGTTTAAAAAAACCTGCCAATACATGTTAATATTATAAATACAAATCCGACAATTGAGCGTCAAATATTACGACAAGTGATAATAATCACTTATTGATGTTCAGCCGGCGAATCTTTATCTTAAATATATTTTATATTGGTCTGGGGACATCCATGATTTGAATTAGGACTTTATAGTTTGCAATTTACTAAGAAACTTTAGATAATGATTTTACAATAATTTCCCGAATTTGTTTAGCTTATTCACCCATTTTCTTGAAGAGCGTTGACCTGACTTTACCTCTAATTCCAATACTTTTGAACCAGTGCCAAATATAAAATGTTGTCGATTTTTGCAGCTGCATAACTGAGAAAGTGTCTGTTTTTTTTCTATAGCTGTCGCATGTTATTTTGAGGTACGTCGACAATATTTTATCATTGAACTCTTATTTTGCGCATGGTTTCTCTTGCGTAACTGTTGACTGTGGCGGCAACAACTACAAACAAAAAAAAAAAAAAACAGCGCAACAAATGAAAATTCAAGCGAAAAGATGAAAATTAAAAATAATATCCGTTCTAAATGGTGTCTTTAGCATCTCCAAGCATATAGCTAATATTTCAAGAGGTGCATAGATCAAGGCGAGAATTAATTAAACTATTCAAAAAACGATGCTCGAGAGTAGCTCAATTGAAGCGGTGCGCCCCTGCTCCCATTATAATGTTGTGTGCCGCTCGATTGCACATTAAATCGAAACGAAAATGAAAACGTTTTTTTTGGCTACCGTCGCCCAGCGGCAACGTCGTCAATGTCAACGATCCGACGACGCTACGACAATCCGGCGACAATCCGGTGGTCAGAGCGATTAGCGCACATGTCTATAGTCAATACCGGTAGTTATCGCTTAATTGAATCAACTACTGCCGATCGCAGAGCGGAATGCACATAAAAATCAGGCGCAGGCGCTGTACCAAAGCCAAGCTCAAAAATTGCCAAACTCTTTATGGGCGACATAAAAAGCAACCAGTGAAATTCGCTAGCAAAGCCAAAATTAAAGTGCGCAACAATGGGCAGCAACACAAAAAAAAAACACAAGTTGAAATGCTCTAGGCAAGCTTACTCAATTTAGGGATACCCTGTTACCAGCTCTGAAGTACCAAAAAATATTCTGGTTGAAATAAGATCGACTATTTTTCTTTATAGAAAAGATTTCTTGAATATTTTTTTGTGTTTTAAAAGTATAAATAAGTTAAGGTATAAGTCATTTTAGTTATTAAAATAATGCTTCCACAGAGAATGATGCAATCATACCCAATTGATGTGTACAGGGTATTGAAAGAGCAAAAAAATGAAAAGAGCGCATGCTACGCTACAAAAATCCAACCAACCGCGAAGAACGACCTTGAACAAGTCGGTTATAGATGGATATATATACGTATATATGTATAGGAATATATGTATGTATTGCATATAGCTACAGCTACAATTTGTACGTTATGTCTATGTGTAAGATTGCAAACTGTAGATACAGTTAAAAGCGCGCATAAATAGCATTAGATACGCGTTGCTGTTGTATCTATATTTATACATACAACACACTTCAGTCTGAGTCTGAGTCTGAGTCTGAGTCTGAGATTCAGCTACGGGGTATGTGAGGCTGCTGCGGTGGCTGCTGTTGCTGTTGCTGTTGCTGTTGCCGCTGTTACTGCTGCTGCCGTTGGCTTTCAAAAGTGAAGTGCGCACAGCTCAGCGCACAATTAGTTCTACATAACAACAACAGCAAAAACAGTAGATACACGTCTCGACTCGTTGCGATTCGAAAATGAAAATTGAAAGTAACTGTGAGATACATTTTTGGCTCATTTGCTGTCGCTTCAAGTGTTTTTGGCTTTGCAAATAAGCGACTCTAATGACGACATCGTCAAGGCGCAGAAATTATACTGCACTCAAAAGCGACTGATAGATACTCATGCAAATACACACACTCATACTCATTGGCGAATAAAGACATTTTGCAATTGTCACACGCTGCCAAAATGTGTTTTCTGTTTTCTGTTTCTGTTCCTGCGGATGCCAAGCCAAGTGTTGGAATCATTTTAGCTGCCAGCTGCTTTTCATAGGCATTCACTTTTAATTTCATATGAAAAGCCGTTTGAAAAGCCGTCGTCGTCGTCGTCGTTACTTACTTAGTCAATATCACAATGTTTTTACATTCGATTCAATATTGAATGTTAATCCGTTTTGATAACACCATTTGACGCTACCAAGGATGCTGGGTACGACTTAATTAAAGCCACGATTGCTCTTTTTATTACCAAGTAGACAACTTAATCGCCATTTGCGATAATACACAACAAAAATGAAGAATCATGCTTAGTTGTTAAAGTTTAATGCACTTATTTATACGTATATATGTGTATGTGTATATGTATATTGCTTTTGATTGCTTACTGAAATTTATTACTTTTCTGTTACAGGTGAAAATCTGGTTCCAGAACCGTCGTTCCAAGTACAAAAAGATGATGAAGGCCGCTCAGGGTCCGGGCACCAACAGCGGCATGCCACTGGGCGGCGGTGGACCCAATCCTGGTCAGCATAGTCCTAATCAAATGCACAGCGGTAAGTTTGTTTTTTGTACTACCACCGCACATTTATAACGATAATAATAATATATGTATATAATATATTTTATGTCTTGCAGGCGGTAATAACGGCGGTGGCTCAAATAGCGGCTCACCCTCACATTATCTACCTCCCGGACATAGTCCAACGCCATCAAGTACGCCTGTGTCTGAGTTATCACCCGGTAAGTCTAAAGCTAATAAAAATACATATACACAACATTAAACGCGTTTATATACATTTTAAATAATATTTCATACGAAACTCTCTCTCCCCCGATTTCTTTTATATTGTCAGAATTTCCACCCACGGGTCTTAGTCCGCCAACGCAAGCGCCATGGGATCAGAAACCGCATTGGATTGATCATAAGCCACCACCGCAAATGACACCACAGCCACCTCATCCAGCGGCGCCGCATCCGCAATCGCACCACCACAATCCGCCGCCCCAAATGGGCGGTTATGTGCCCCAGTATTGGTATCAGCCCGAGACGAATCCATCATTACTTACGTAAGTATGGGAATTCCCCAACAAAAAAAGCATAAAAAACGAAAAGAAAAAAAAATAAAAAACACCACAGTTGTGCTACAAAACTTGTCGTTGCTTTCTAACTGACCGATTGTTTCCTCTTCTTTGGCATGGTTTCTTTTGCAGCGTGTGGCCGGCGGTTTAACAGCACCCGAACCAGCTGCACCCGCCGCCCTGCGCTGCGTGGTCATCACAGTCCGCGCATTCGCAATCCTACGAGGCAAGGCCCTGCGCCGAACTGAATCTGCACCACAATCATCATCATCATCACAATGATGCGGTTTTCGTGGGCGATGGCGAAAGGGTCGCGACGGGTCAGTGAATGTCACACACACACACACACACACACAAACAAACAACACACAACTACAAATCTTAGCCAATAATTGAATATTAATTGAGCATTGATTGAGGATCATATATAACAGAACATTGTAAAATATTAATTAATATGAAGCAGTTGATAGGCCGTAAAACATTTTGTATATTTAAATTTTAAAATGTGAATGAGTCGTTTTAAAGTTAGTCTCTTTAAGAAATAATACCTATTAAAACAAAATACATAAAATAAAAATAAACTTACACACACACAAACACACACAGACAGACATTCCTCAATATTGTTTTGTCCGAGTATGAAACGTGTCCTTTACCTTGTTTATATATTTTTTGTAAACTATAGCTAATTGCATATTGTATAAATATGAACAATAAAAAATATGAAAACCACAAAAAAATATATAAAAATTGAAATCAGCTGTTGATCTTAAGCCTTTCTTTTAGAGCCAAGCAAACGCAAAGGTATCTAATTTGTTTAGTTTATTTACCGCTACCTTTTTTTGTATAGAACGAGCAAAAAAAAAGAAGAATCAGTAAAAATCAGATCTCAACGGAACATTTTCGCATATAATTTTCATAATAATGTCCCAACTGCACTCGGAAACAATAATAACAAAGCAAAAACAATAACTTTTTCATGTTATGTGCAATATAATTAATAAATGAATTAAAATTATAAAAAGCCGCTGTCAAGTTCATAAATTAAAAATAAATCAAAAAAGACAAATTAAATTGTGTGAAAAAGGCGTTTAAAAATATGTATTGTAAATTTGTGTAAAAACATTTAATACCATAAGCTAAAATAATTTTTAAAAGAACAAAACAAAATGTTAAATCTAGACAACTTAAGAAAAACACAAAACAAATTTAATAAAAATGCATAAAATGTAAAGTAAATATAAATATAAAAAACGCGAGAAATCAATAAGTTTAGAGCAGCTAAAAATACAAAATATAGTATATACTATATATATATATATATATATATATATTGATGTAGTGCTTGCTGTAGCTGTAATTTAATTATTTAAGCGGTATTTAGTGCTTGTGGTTAACCGTAGTTTTATTTATAAACAAGCAGAGCAAATGCACAAAATCAAAAGCGAATTATTCAAATTAAAAACAATAAATGAATTTTGTTTCTATGTGCGTGTAATTTTATTTGCATTGTAAACTATTAAATTAAATGAACAAACAATTATGAATGACAACAACAACAACAACAACAAACAAACAAACAAAACAACAGCAGCAAAAAAACGTACAGATAAATGTATATGCAAAACAAATTATGTGCTAGCATTTAATTAATTAAATAGTTTTAATCTAGAAAATGGCAACTACATTCTAAATAAATAACAACAAATCAAACAGAAACAGTACACCAATCTCAAATATATAGTAATATGTATATGATATATAGAGATACAGAGACAGAAAGCCTAGCAGTGAAGTTGAAGCAAAACCCAATCCCATTTAAGTTGTAGTAATTGTCGTAATTTTAAAATCTAAACGAATGAAATCAAACGAAACAATAAAACAAAAACAAATGAAGAAAATAAAAAAAAAAAACATTATATATATATTTCAAATTTAGCCCATAATTTTTCATCATCAGCACTTGACTGTGGGCATTGGCTGCGTTTTACAAGGCATCGCATCGAAGGGCTATGTGGCATCCTGGCATGGATATGGCCAGGCAGCCACGCGACGCACATTAATGCATTCACATTTACATTACACATTTACACTTGAAACAAGTTAAGTGGCATTTGTTCAGTCAGTCGACGGAAGGAAGCATAAAATCTGTTCCATTAATCATAAAGAATGCAACAGGATATGCTTGAGGCTTTCAGGCTTTTACACTCGCGCTGAATGGTTCCATTATGTGCTCAAAGGCACAGTTCTCAACAGCAAATTACAGATGCGCACAGAGAAAGATAGAGAAAAAGAGAGAGAAAGAGAGAGAGAGAGAGAGAGAGAGAGAAAGAGTGGTATAAAGTCTGGTAAGAAATATCTACAGAATCTGCGGGGGATGAGCGTATTATCAGATTTCAAGTAGCTGCCAATGAGGCCGCGATACTGCTGAGTTGTAATCCTTTTAAAGCCTATTTGCTGCTTATTACAATTAGGGGCAATTTTCAACTGAATTTTGAGGGTAAGAAGCTGTGCAGTAAATGTTTGTTCCTGTTTCGTGGCCTACAGATAAATTGAAAACCAAAAATGTCAATCAAATGGATCTGAGTTTTGAGTCCTTAAAGCGCCTGCTACAAACACTCGACATACCGCAACAATAACAACAACACGAACACTTCACTCAAATTCAAGTTCCAGATTTCAGGTTCAAGTCGAAGTCGGCAATAAAAAAAAAGCTGCGGACAGGCCTCAACTGTCGCCTACTTGAGTCTTGTTTTTTGCTCATTAAATCAACACCTTGTTGCCATTGTGCAATACAATGGCAAGCGGGAACTGAATTTGTTGCTGTAGCTGAACAGATTTGTTGGTAAAATCAAAGAATTTGGCTGGCAGACCAAACAAGGCCGCTTAGCACTGGCCAGAACCAGGCCCAGAGGACTGCGATTGCTGGCAGTAAATGTCGTAAAGGGATTTTTGCATTTGAACGTTTTTGCGATTTCAATTTAAAAATGTTCATGCCCCAGGAATGCCAAGGAATGCGCAAATTCCACTAGCACAAAGGCGCAATTCTTCTCTGGCCAAAACGTCAGCAAGTACTTGACCGCATGCACTTTATCTAAGCCATGACTTTGACTTTTAATTGATACAATTTGAGCCTGCAAACAATGGCACATTTGTCTTCTTTTTTGGGCTGACTGCTTACTTACTTACTTAGTTAGCTGGGAATTTGCAGGCGTTTCAATGAAATGGCTTGTCAAGGATATAGAAATGACCGCAGCTATACATAAAGTTAAAGATGCAGACAGACTCGGAGGCATTTGCAGTTTGGGTAGCTTTGACTTGGAGTTGACTGCTCAAATTACTTGCTGTACTTAGTGTGTTTACATAAATTAGCAACGAACTGACATTCGCAGCGCTGTTCTGGTTGGCGTTGTTGTTGTAGTTGCTGCTGTTGCTCTGTTGCTGTTGCAGTCGCAGTTGCAGTTGCGCTTCGCAGGACGTTGCAAAAGTTTGTGCTGAAGAATTTCCTCGTAAAAATGACGCATACCAAACTTAGACACAACGGGGACGACGCATCGTCGCATCGTCGATGTCTTTTCCTGACGTTCAGTTCCAAAAAGCAAAAGGGCTGTGTGCAAGCTCTGGCCGAAGCTCAGACCCCATACCAAATTGGTATTGGTGTGTTGAGCAGGCGAAATACTCGTACAATAAATAACACTGCAAATAAATGAAAAACTAAAATAAAAATATACAAAAAAAAAAAAACAATAAGCAACTAACTACAAAGTACCGATACCTAAACACCCTTTGAACACATTTGGTTTATTACCTTAATAATATAAACAATAAAAGAAATAAACAAAAGCTTTGCCAGCTTTTAATTTTTTACTTATATGTACAATGTCGGCCTTAATAAGTCTGCATGAAAACGTTACACATGGCATGACAAAGTGTTAATACACTTTGCAAGTGTATATTATACAAAAATAAAAACAACAGCGCTGCAGTTGAAGTTATTTGTGAAATTCATCCGTCAAAGTCGCTGCTGCAACGGCCCTGGCTTCTGGCTTCTGGCAACTATCCACTGGTCACTGGCTACTGACCAAGTCAGGCACTGTGCCTAGTCAGACTTTGGGTCTTTGGGGCTGTTCGGGTTTTGGCTGGCGTAAAACTTAAAAAGCGTTCCTTTCATGGTTTTGCCATTGTTTTCAAGCCGGCTACTGGTCATGCCGCACTGTGTGTGCAATTTTTAGCTGCTCTCTGTTTCGCTGTCTGTTGCTTGCTGCTCTCTACTGGCTCCTGGATGCCACAGCATTCCTGGGCACCATCCGCATGCAATGATGAACGATGTGTCGCTGATGACCTGATCAAAGTGGAGCATCTACACGCATATCGATTGCACTGGAGCGGACAGAGGGGACAGCGATCGGAGGGGGCGGGGGTGTGGTGGCAGCAGCCACTGCATGTTTAAGGACATGACATTTTTTGTCGTACCGCTTGCTAAAATAACTTTGTTAAGATTTTTGCAAAACCCGCTTTGGGGCATTTTGGGGCCGCGTTCGTCTTCGGCGTCAGCTTCGTCTTCGGCACGGCACAGCTCAACTCAGCACATGGATTGGGAGGATGGAGGAGATGGGATAGAAAACTCAACAAGCTGCAGTCACATCTCGCTGCGAAAGGGACAAATTTGACATGGCAGGGTCCAGGCCCAGGACAGGCTTTTGTTATTTTTGAGCAGCGCGCTGCATTTCAATGAGCCGCTATAAATCTTCAGCTTGCCACTGAGCCACTGAGCCACTGGACCCGGCCTGACCAGTCGCCAGTCAACAGTTAACAGACAACGACACTCGTTGCTGAGGTTGTTTATTTGTTGTTGTTTGTTTTTGGGCTGGCTCAGTAGTCAGTGACCGATTTTATGACAAATGTATTTTATGAACTGTCAAAATAGGTGTTGAAAATGAATTAATTCGCTTTGCTCTGATCTTGTCTGGTTGACTCGCTGACTGAGTGACTGGCCTGACAACAGCAGCACCAACAACAACAACGACAAATGCGTTTTGGCGGCAAACTTCAGACTCGCAAGCGTGACATTTGCAACAGCAGAGGGGATATCGGAGAGGAGGCGACCGTTCAGCTGCGTCTGCGCCGAAATACGAAACTGCCAATTATGCGCAACTTCCTACGCAATCAGCTCAGATCCATATTCGCATAGTAGTAGCAAAGCGTGCCCCTTGCACCCAGCAGCCTGCACCCATGCTAAGCGTCTATAAAATCTGCTAATTTAATCAACGCTGGCGGGGGCGTGGCAACTGTGTATGTGTGTGTGTCTGTGTGTGTTCAGGCACGTGACAAGCGCCCGTTTGAAGTTGCTAGCAAGTCCAGAAATGAAGCTGGCTGGCGTTAGAGCAAACTGGAGTGTGTTTTCATTAAAAAATTCGAGTTGAATAGACCAGTTTTGCAGATACCTTCGCCGCGGCTTTGGAATTTGGCCATGCTTAAAGAATTTATTAGTTATCGGTATAGTTTAGTTACTGCATTTAGTTGATCTAATTTATGTATCTAGTTACGTCAGAGTTTAGCACTGACTAAATAAATAATTACATTGTTCGAACTTAAATAAATATATCTACATTTGTCATCATAACCGTTATTTAATTGACAACAAATTAATTATCTAGAGATATATTATATGTTAAAATGAACAACGT